AAAAAAAAAAGTGAGGTGTCGGATCTGGCGACAGGCGATGCACGCGCTCCACCACAAAGGGCGGGATGCGTGGCGCCCGCAACACGAGAGCCAGCCTCGGAAACGAGTGATGCGCGCTGTGCAGACAATGCCACCTGCCAACATCGCCGACGGTCGGTGCTCCCTGCTGGCACACAATGGCGGCGATGCATGGAGCGCATTGTGCGGAGGATGCGACGAAGGATTCGGTGCGTTTGGGACGGCGAGGCGGCTGCGTGCAGTGCAGTGCGGTGCGGTGCGGTGCGTGCACTAGCCCTGCACACGCCTGCAGAGGGGTTTGAGTGCACCGACTGGGCTCGACGAGCGCGCGCGGGTGCGTTGCGTTGCGATGCTGCATCCGACGCACCTCCATTCCGAACGCCCATGCAGCTGGCTCGGTCATGCACAATGGCTCTGGCATCGCGCGTGCACCTCTCTGCTGCAGTGCCCCACCAGCGCGCCAAATCGGAATTTCCGCTGGCGCCTCGCAAAGAAGAAAAAAAAGAGTGTTGCTCTTGCAGACGAGGCGAAGCGAGGTGAGGCCAGCCAAGCCAAGTCCAGATCTCTGTTTTCTTTTTCCACTCGACGCGAGGTCTTGGCAGGCGGCGGCCAGGCGGAGCGGGCGGGCGATGAAACGGCGCTTCGCCACGGCCCGCCCAATCGATCGTCGGCCCCTCACCGCTGAATCCCGACGGTGAACCTCAGCTGCACCGCCTTCGTTTGGCTTTGCTTCATCGCCAACCGGCGCTGCAGCCCACCGAGCGTGAGCTCGAGCTCGAGCTCGAAGCTTGCCAAAGCAAACACACGCGCTGCCACACGCTGCCACACTCTCCAACAACCCCTATCCGCCCACAACCGCCCACACCGCCTTCACTCGACCGCCGCCTCTCCATCTTCTCATCCCGCCTTCCCATCCTTGTCTCCTCACCATCACCATCCTTTGCGCTCCTTCTCGCAGACTCCTTAGTCTCCATCCATTCGTTTGCTTCTTTCTCTTCCACCACGTCGGAGTATCCGGATCATCACAATGAAGGCTGCTGCTGCCATCCTCGTCGCTCTCGCCGCTGGCGCCTCCGCCCAGTCGGTCCCCGCCTTCCGCTACGGCACCCCCTCCGCCAACTACCCAGGCGTCAAGGGCACCAACAGGAACGGCCCCACCAACCCCTCCGCCCCGCAGCTCAACACCCCCATCAACCAGACCTCCGATTCGCGCCTCGCCACCCTCAACTCCATCGACGACTGGTGCACCTTCGGCCCCCAGGTGCCCGGCACCATCATCGGCAACGTAGAGGGCGAGACCGTCGCCTACTGCACAAAGCCCCGTAACAACGCCCGTGTCATCGTAAGCATCCAACTTCTCGCTCTCTTATTTACGACTCTCCCGTGGCACCGTACTAACCCTACTTGACTTGTCTTTACTCTCGCAGCCCGACGGAACCGTCACCGGTGCCCACTTCGTCAAGACCCCCCTCTACGTCCAGCTCATGGCGCTCGGTGACTTTACCAAGATCGGTCTTGTCGCCGGCGACGAGGGCGGTGAGCTCGACCCGCACGGCGCCACCAACATGGGCAACCCCGTCGGCGGCAACGTCACCTCCAACGTCTCGGGCGAGGACGTCTTTTACGAGGAGTGGATGAACTACGTCTCGTACAACCAGCTCTGCTTCCGTATCTGCATCGCCGGCTCCGAGCAGGCGCCCACCGCCCTCGAGTGCGAGCACGAGCTCGACGTCATGGGCTGCAACTTTGTCATGCCCGGCAACTACGCCGACNCCCGCCCGGTCTCTACCCCGAGGCCAACGGCCAGACCTCTACCTTCAAGCAGTTCTTCACCGGCGAGTACGTCGCTGGCGGCACCACCTACTCGTACACCAACGGCGCCGCCGACCAGGTCACCCCCACCGGCGCCTACTCCACGCCCTCCACCTCGAACTGCAGGACCACCGCCACCATCTCCAACGGCATCAAGTCCATCGTCCCCTCGTCGTCGTCGTCGGTCGCCTCGTCCAGCACCGCCTCGGCCTCGAGCGCCTCGTCCACCGGCCGTGCCTCCAACTCGGGCTCCGCCTCGGGCGCCGCCTCCACCGGCAACTCGGGCTCGGGCTCGAGCGGCAGCAGCAGCTCGTCCGGCTCGGGCTCCAGCGGCTCCTCGTCGGGCGCCTCGTCGCTCGTCGGCTCGGCTGTCGGCATCGCCGCTTCGGTCGTCGCTGTCATGGCCGGCGCCTACCTTCTCTAAGTCGAGCGCGCCCCGTGACTCCTTCGAAAGCCTCCATGCTCTGGTTCATCTCATCCCCCCCTCTTCATCCCAAGTGCTTCGATTCCTCACTCTTTCCCCCTTCGCCCAGGCGGAAATTTCCTTTGTTGATCGCATCTTGATTGGTTCGCTCCCAAGCATACATACACTCGTTTTTGGTCCGCACACACGCTTTGATGGCTGCGTCTCTTGACCGCATGCACGCGCCTTCTCAAGGACAATGGCACTTTCTTCTCCCTACACGCGCATCGGTCGCGACGGCCACACTTCACGAGTCATGCTGAATAGAGTTGGTGGGCGGACGGTATAAGAGATGGAAATTCATAGTGTACAGGCATTGAAGAATTGGAAAAGAGATCGAGGTTTAGGCGTCTAGGGAGATGGGGTTCATGTTGGCTTCGTGTTCCTTTTTTTGTTGGTTCCAGGTGACCATGTTTTCGGTGGTCTTGTCGTGGTACACCTTCTGTTGTTCGTCTGTCAACTCCTTCCATGCCTCGGACACCTTGCGCAGTACGCTCGAGTACGGCAGTCCGGGATGTTTCTTGCGGATCTCCTGACGCACCTCGTTCTGGAAGAGCAGGTAGGCGCTCGGGGGACGCTTGGGCGCATCCGGATCGCGAAGACGCTTCTCCTTGCGCTTCTGTAACTTGCTCAACTTCTTGGCTTCCTTCCCATTCGCACCCCCCGTTCCTGCCGCAGCCGCCGTCTCTGCCCCAGCTGTGCTGACGGCATGAGAGCCATTGGCAATGTTGTTGAGAAAGTCAAATGTTGACGGTACACTTGCACCACCCGCACTCGACACATTCCCCTGCTGCGCCAACACCAAAGCGGCGACGTTCGGGTTCTGGCGCGCAACCACCTTGACGAATGCATCGCAGGAATCGGCCGCATGCCGCAGCTGCGCAGACAATCGACTCACCGCATCGAACATCTGCAAGCCACCGAATCAAATACAGTCAGCCTCATCGCGCTCGTCTTGGGACGGAGGATCGCACTTACCGTCTGTCGTGCGATGAAGATGTCATCTCCCTGCGCACCGGAGTGGGCGAGCGCCGAGTTGAACTGGTGATGCGGCTGCTGCGGGTGGTGATGCGACGCGTGCTGATGCGACAGCAGACCATACTGGTCAAAGTTGGCGGCGTTCATGTCGGAAAAGATGGTGGGCGGCGTATGCACGTCGCTATCGGACGCGGCTGCGATGTCAATGGCGGAAACGGGCGGATCGTCCGAGTCTCGACCTCGACGATTGTAGGAAGGGACAAGCGCTGCAGTGGGGTGGGGACGGAGGAGCAGCGGCAAGCGCGAAGCGTCCGCCAAGAGGTGGAGGCGGTACGGCGCGTCACGTTGCGGCGCGAACGCGCGGGGAAGCGGCGAAACGACGGTCAAAACGCGACGTAACACCGGCGAAGAATATCCGCAGGGTCACCGAAAGCCGAACGGCATGCAAAACGGAAGCGCACGGTCGTCGTAGCAGCCATGGATCGCGACAAGCGGATCCAGTCGCAAAAAGCAGCATAGGAGCAGACCAGGAGATGGAGACAAGAAGGAGGATGAGATCAGGGTTAGCACGCTGTTCGGATGGCTCATGATCAGATTGGGGGCTGAGGGGCGTGGACACGAGGCGACGAGCTGGCTTGGAACGAGCTCGATGCGCAGCAGGCAGGATGCTAGCTAGCATTACCTGCTGGCGAGCACGTTGCAACCCACGCAGTCGATCCGGTCCTGGAGCGTCTCAGGGCCGCCGTCACCGATGCCGCAAATGCGGGCGACAGCGTACAGACCCAAACGAAGCCAGCCAACGCTTCTTTGACAGCCGGGCAGCCAGTTGACAGCCGGTTGACGGCGCGACAAAGTTCAAGGTACAACAACGTCGTGCTTTGCAGGGTGCAAGGGCTTTCGCAAGGACATTCGCAAGGACATTCGCAGAGACACTTACACAAGCTAGGTAGGAATAGAACAAGTTGAAAGGGCAACGCTTTGGGTTGCTACTGTAGGCTGCGGGATGAATAGCGCCAACAGTTTCGATAGCTTCTTGTAAGGGCAGAATAGAGTAGTGGCCGACTTTGAAACGGAATCGAAGGTGGAAAGAAGGGAAAGGGCGTTGATTAGAGCCGCCCACTTTGGCTGCCGTATATCAACTATTTCGCCTGGCCAACCCGATTAGCGCGTGGATTAGCGCGTGTGATTTCAGCGCAGCCAACCACTTGCACCGCCCACTTTCGCACCCTTTCAACTGCACTTGAACCCCAAAATCACCCAAATCACAGCCGCGCCTAATTTCAACTCGAGGCTGATGCGGCCGAGAAAGAAGGGCGTTCGCGCGGCTGAGTCGCAGCGTGCTGAGTGTGTTTGTTGCTTTGCGCATGGCCGTTGACTAGCAAGTGTGATGCGATGCGAGACCGATCCTCCCTCCCGACCCTCATTGCTTTTCATATCTCCCGCCCCGTCTTGATCCAGATCAGGAGGTCGAGGTGCACTTGCTTGCCGCTCATCCCACGCACACCTTGGGAGTGGACGCGTACACAGGACTCCGGGCCGAGCAGAGCTGATCGTCAGAGCATTCACGCATACAGTGAAGGATAGCCACTCCTGCTTGTCGTTGACCACGGCCAGAAGTTGGTGTCGCACACTGTCGCACGTCTGCAGACGCACGGCTCGCATTGCCTCTACTGTCGCTCGCTTCGACTCTGCATCCGCTTTGGGATTGGAGCCAAGCAAGTGCATCTCGACCTCCAGTCGGTAGTACACGGGGTGAAAGAGGACGTCTCTCGTCGCCGCTCGGCTCAGTGTCGTTGCTCACAGCAGCAACAGCGCTACAGCTCCAGTGTGTCGCACCGAGACGGTTGTGAAAGTGTCGACGTACAGAACCTCTTTTCGCTGAATTCGTCCCGGCAGGCCGAGGAGCCAGGAACGCACCGTCTTGAGTGGGCTGCTCTCGTTCAGCAGATCCACCTTCGTCACGGCCCATCCGAACAAAGGGACCCTTCACCTCGACTCGGCCACCAAATTCGCAAGACTCAAGACTCGACAGGCGTGTCCATTCCGCCAACTCAATCGCAAGACCATTCCATCGCTCAGGGTAAGTACTGCCAAACCATGACCACGTTCGAGAGTAGTGGCGCCGACGACCTTGAGAGCGTGGCATCAGCCGCGCATGAACGGATCAGCACAGCGCTGGCGAGCAGACAAGCCAAACAGCCAGCCAGCCAGCCAGCCAAGGCAGCCAGCCAGCCAGCCGGCCAAGGCAGCCCGTTGCAAGGCTTTGAGCGCTCAGCCGGCTTGCGTTTCGGACCGAGCCGTTGACCAGAGAAATCCAAAGGGTGCCCCCCAATCCAAAATTTCAAAGCTCAACTTGAAAGCGCAATACCGAAAGTCGAAGTCTCGAAAATTGTATTCGAAGCTGCCCATCGCACCACGCAGCCGCATGGCAGCAGATGGCAGCAGCGCCAGGGCGACCCCAATGAAGCGCAGCGCGGGCGCAGTCACTTTGGCGGGAACAAAGGAGCGCAGCGAGCTTCTCGCTGACCGAGCCGGAGAAAAAAAATAAAAATGCAATTCTGCATTTTGAACTGCGTTTTGAACTGACGGCATAACATTGCCGATTCTTTCCCGCGCGCCCCTGCATGTCAAGTTGCGCATCCGCTGCCCTGCCACTCTTCTGCTTTTTAGCGTCTCGGTGAACCGTTCTCGCCATCACGACCCTTTCGAGGCCGATGTCAATGTTCCTGCCTGCTCAGAATCACTTTCACTGGTCAATGTTGATAGCTCTGTGTGAAAGGCAATCACTGACTCCTGTCTCCCACTTGTCTCCCTGCACACCCCAGGTCTCTGGCTTCCGAACTAAACGACGGCAGCATGGATCCGCAAACGAGCTACGACGCTTGGTCCATGCAGCAGGCCTGGCAGTCTGCCAATGGCGACCTGGGACCGATCGGTGCGACCTCGCAAGGCACACACTCCTTCCACGCCTTTCAAGACGCCCAGTCGCATCCTCCGCAGCATCAGTTGCAACATCAGCAACAGCAGCAGCAGCA